CTGACAGCGCCCCAGGGAACGGCTGCGGCTCTGTCCGGGGAGGGTTAGGCTGGATATTAGCACAAGGTTCYTCTCTCGGAGGGCGATCGAGAACTGAACGGGCTTCGCAGGGGCCACTTAAAAGTCACAAAGTATCAGAGGACATAAGAAACCAGAGGTTTGCTGGAAAAGGTGAAACAGAGTTTCACACTGTGATGTTACAAGTTTACCAAGTGTTTTATTTTGCCCAAATGAACAAAAACAGGATAAGGAAAGTAACTGTCTCTCAACCTGGCGGAATTCTCTATTAAACATCAAGGCAAAGTAAAAAGAACAGACGTGCTACTCACACATTTGGGAAAGGTTTTTTTTTTTCCTTCGGGYACTRCCAAGGCTCGGGCACGGCCCCGAKGGTGCCAGAGCTCCWGGAGSGTTTGGCCAGCGCTGCCAGGGATGSAYAGGGTGGGAWTGCCGGGGTGTCTGTGCGGGGCCGGGGTCGGACTGGRTGATCYCTGTGGGTCSGTCCCRCTCGGGACATTCTGTGGCACRGGGACCGKGTCCCGGCCCGGGCAAAAGGAGCCGCCCGGTGCAGGGCTCGCAGGCAGACCCCGGTCCCGCCCGTTCCGCCGTTCACCGGAGATTTCCCCAGCACCTGAGCGTGCTCAAAGKAATGTTTAAAAGGCCTCAAAACTCATTCATGCCCACGGCCGCATCAGGGCCCGCCGAGCTCCCTCTCAGAGCCGAGTTTAACCCCGAGTGAAACCCCGCCCGTGAAACGCGACCCCCGCACAGCCCCGGAGCTGCCCTTCGGACACCTGAAACAGCTTCGAGGACATTGGGTGGCSTTAGTTTTTTATAAAGGGAGCTCGAAAACACCTAAGTTAGCTAAACAAATCAAATTCACCCCCGAAATAGTCATGGTCTGGAGAMGGAACTCAGAACATCTCTGCAAGGGGCCCACAAGGATCATGGAGTGAATGGCCCACACAGGGATCAAACCYTCGGTGTTATCAGCMCCATGCAAGAAGAAGKGRTMTACATARAATAAACAATAAATAYTAAATACTGTGTTYAAAACAGATAATACATCACAAACAACGTTTTTACTGTTTGTAATGACCCRTTGATCTGAAACAGTAGATTAAGGCTCACCTGCCCTGACCGGAGAGTTCCTCAGGTGATAGAAAGCAAATATTCTGCTTAAAAGGTGAAAATACCAAGCATTTCAGCTTAAACTTTCAGACAGAAACATAACACATTCTCAGTAACGTCATTCAGTGGAAAAAGTTCTCTCTCTGTGCTCAGTGGCAGCTTTCCTTATCATGATTTTAATCTCATTTAAGTGTCTTTTTTTGCAATTTACTTTTCTTGGCAAAACATTAAGATTAGCATCTCTTGCAATGGCTGACTGGAGTTTGTTTGGATTTACCTCATGGTAACAAATCTCTCCCACAAACAGGCATCACATTTACCTGAAYTACGTACACAGAGTGAGAGACACAATTTAGGCCACAAGAAAATTTCCACCCAGCCCAGGCTTCTTACCCGGTGAATATTTCCTCTGACAAATCCTTSATCCTTCCAATCCCTTCCCTGCCACACCAACCAGGAATTCTGTCTTGCAAAGTTTTTTGATTGGGCCTGTGCTGAGAGGAAAAGTGTTTTCAAATACAATAYTTTCACATTCAGTTACAACTGCRATTTATTCAKTCCAAGTGTCACAGCCTAGAWGCTGCTTGTTCCATCCTGGCACCCRGAATCAGGGAAGTACTTTAGCCCACATTACTCCCCTTCCTTTTGGCACAAGCCTTATAAACAGAGAACACAATCTGACACTTGTAAATATGTCAGGCAATGTGTATTAACCAACCCCAAACCACATCCTTCCGCRTTAAAATAGTGCAGCTCTTGTAACTCCCCTGCAGCACCGGGCACCCGTCCTATCACTACAGGAGGCCCAGGGACAGCAAACTCTTTGATGGAGTATCCATTCTATTCTTGCAATTAAAGA